CCCTGGGATTTTTAGAATTATCTACCGCTGAATAAAAAGGTTAATCATCAAAATATTATCACAATCACCCAGCAAAACACACGGTATATACACTATACAGCAACACAGCCCAATACAACAGACAGCCAATAAACAAGCAGTGATGGAGGCGTGTTCAAAAAGGTAATATGCAGCTGTCGACACTAAATAGTCGGTGATTTCCCGTAAGAAATTTTGCGCAAACACCATCTGTATGAGCCTTCGAACAGAACCACCACAATTGAAACAAAAGCGCCAAAAAACTGGAATGTTTGTTTTTTTCGCTCGGGAAAGATATATACGCGCCCCGGTCCGGCATACGGCCTTGGGTGCGGCGGCTACTGCCCCGTCGGCTCCACGCATCCGACTGACCGGCCAAGGTCACCGCTCCGTCCGCCGGGAGGGCGGAGCTTAATGGTCACGTGCCTGTGACGTCACGCCTACGTACGGATAGCCTCTACTCCACTGACGGATTTACGGAGCTGATTTTAACATTACGAGGCAACGACAAGTGACCTAACAATTGATATTTTGTGAAAAGACCATATTAGCGAAAATTGGCGCTTGAGCTGAAATGTGCATTGTGAAAATTTGAAGCAAATTGGACAAATATTAAATAAATTATCGCCAAAAAACAGGGTCTCATGGGGTCTGAAATGCATAGTAGGTGACACCAACTTCTTCATCACCGAAGTTACGCCCCGCTCCAAAGTTAGCGCCGGCCTTGTTTTGAGAGCGTTCGGCAGAGCGGAAGATCAATCAATGGTCCATACGAGTATTTAAGTTACTGCCTATGCTTTTTGACCGGTCAGCGCGATGGACCGCGTTTTATCAAAGTGTGCCGTTCCTTATTGCCTCATGCATTGTGAATAGGTCAGGATGGCAGAGCGCAATTGCCATCATTGAAGGGAGTTGTCGGAAAATAAAATTCACTGAAAGAACCAACGGTCCAGAGCTCAACAGAATGTCTTGAGGCTCATCGCGCCCAAAATCCATTTCTATTCGACTTTTGTCAACGAACATTAGGATTTGTTGTTTGTCATGGGAGTGGTAAAACTGATTATAGACTCTGTGAACCACGTTGCAGTATATTTCCCCAACACTGCGAGTAGCTATGCATTTGATGTACGCTGCGTTGTTATTGGTTTTTGGTGCGAGCCCAGACCTTGGGTCTGTTCCAGTCGCACTTCCTAGCACCTCTTAACTCCGAGAGCAAGATAGAGGAGGTTGGAGCAGGGCCCTCCTTGGGTTTGTAGGGGCTAGGGCTGCCACTGGAACAGGGAAGCAATCTTGGAGGAGTTCAGAGGTGTTCGGAAGTGCGACTGGAACAGACTCTTTGTTTCCAGGTTGAGTGGACATAGACGTGTGGGCGAGGGGATGGAGAGGGTGCTCTTTGTACGGTCCGAAATTTCGGGATGCTGTTGAGTGATTGAAATGGATACAGATTTGCATCTTTTCAGCAGCTCCATGCAATTTACAAAGTTCGGCGCTTAATTCGCCGTCGGAGAATCGAGGAAATTAATCTACCAGTGCAGAATTGCGTGTTTTGCCACGCTTCCACCCCATCGTGATTCGTACATAATTAATTTGACGCTATTCCAGTACCTTATTCCTGTTCTATTTGATGTGCGCTCGGGCAAAACGTTTTTGCATTCAATATTTTTAAATGTACTTTAACCTTCCAGGCGGTGGGGGGGGGGGGGGGGATTTTTTGCTCCCCTTTAGTTTTTTCGATATATCTCGAGAACCGCTGCGCCGATCGTCACCAAACTTTCAGTACCCTCCCGGGAGTAGCTAGCGCACATGGTGACCAAAATTTTTCCAAAGGCTATGATAGGTTGGCCCCTAATGACGTCAGAGTGACGTCATTTTTGCCATTTTCGACCCAAAAAAGGTTTCGCGGGAAGAGCTGTCAGGCCTACAGCTTTAGAGATACAGAAAAATGTTCCGGCATAAAAGGTGTGGAATCAAGAGTGATACAAAACTGCTATTTCGGTTTTTCGATTTTTTTTTATTTTGATCCCCAAAAATAAAAAAAGAAATAGATTTTTTAAATATAATAGCCGAAAAATCCCAAAAGTTTTTTTGAATTTCGGAAAAACCGGAATATATGTGATAGTCCCTACCGCCTTCTATCTACATACCAAATTTGAGATCAATACCTCTTTTTTTGGCCAAGTTATAGCGAAAGAACTGTTCAAAATTGATGACGTCAAATTTTCAAACTCAATTTTTTAGCAATTCTAGACCTCGTAGCGCAAAACAAAGACCACCATTAGACTCCCCGTGACGAGCTGCATCGAATCGATACCCATTTTATGCAAAATATCAACTTTGAAATTTGGTCTTTTTTGACCTGACCTTGACCTGACCTCCACCAGAAAGTGACCTAAACCGTACCTGATGGTCTTATAACCAATACCATTGAGTTGGAAATGAAAAACTGGCCATAAAACATGCATCGCACAACCTTAGTAAAGTTGGGTTCATGTGGTGACCCTTGGTGACCTTCGGTGACCTGACCTGTGACCTGACCTGGTATGACCAGTGACCTCTAATAGAAACATATGTACTAGACAACTGACGCCTTATCGCTGATTTTCGACAAAATGCTTTTTACTCGGTGTTATAGCGCTTTCCCTAGAAGCCCCGTGAACGGTGAAACATTTTATCTTTGACCTGACCTGTGACGTCATCGGTGACCCCGAGGTCAATGAATTCCTTCGACAAATTTGACAGGGCTATCGAACGCCGTTTGAATTTTCCGGATCCGTCCAGTAGTTTCGGAGATACGAGGGGGGGGGGGGCAAAAAATGCCCCCCCCCCCACCGCGCGGAAGGTGGCTGGGAGGCCCACCGCCTGCCGGGTAAGCTTCAAGTCGTATCTTTGAAAAGCGAAGCCGAATCCCACCGGTCACCCACGGGATATTCCACCGGACTATTGCAGCTTGCGCTCCATCCGATGGTAAAGAGGCTGTTACAGTGCTGGTAACAAGTGTTCAACCCTTCAACCACCAGGTGCCCTTCATCAGGCAGCTGCCCCCAGGGAGCGAGGCTGCCCTGGCCTCGCTCCCAGCCGTGGTCCCGTCCACCCAGTCCGGTCGTTCCCGTCCACCCAGTCCGGTCGGTCCCGTCCACCCAGTCCTGGTCGGCTTCTAACTACCCAGTCCTAGTTGGCTTCTAACCACTCAGCCTCGGTCGGATATAACCACCCAGTCCCCGTCGGTCCCGTCCATCCAGTCCCGGTCGGTCACTGCCGTCCATCCAGTCCTGGTTGGTCCCAACTTCTAACCACCCAGTCCCGGTCGGTCCTGTCGGACGCCGACGCGGCCCTCATCTGAATTCTGCGCTGCCGCCGTCCCAGGCGGCGGAGGTGGTGTCGGCGGTCCACGGAGGCGTGTCGCCGGGGCCGGCCGCCCCGCCATCGGTCAGGGTGGGAGGCGTGCTCCTGAAGCGCCGGACGGCTGGGCGGTCAGTGTGCCGGCCGGCCGGGGTGAGCACTCAGAGTAGCCCTATTGATCTGGTGCCGATCGGGACCGCCCCGGCGGCCGGACGGGGCCGCCGCCGGCCGCTGCAGAGCGCCGAACAGGTGGACGCCACAGATATCGTAGATCGCTCACGTTCAGTGCTCCAATCGGCGGCCGTCGGTCCGTCGGTCGGTCGGAAGGGTGGGCGGCCTGTCGGCGCGGCTCGGGGTAGTGACGCGCGCCGCGCCGGCGACTGACAGGCCGGCTCTGTTTTCGACGGCCGGCTGGCGGGCTGTTTTTTCGGCCTCTGGTCTCGGCGAATCAGATGTTATTCGCCCGTATATCTCGGTCGGGTGAATCCGAGCCGCCGCTGGGCCTGGGGGCCCGGAACGCTGACCGGCTGTTTGCGTGTGGGCGGCTGGCTGTGGGAGTCTGGCTGCATTATTGTGTGGAGGGAGAGATAATGTGAAGGCTAAAAGGATGTGGTATGAATGCGGTGCTGGTAAATAAATCAGAATACCCAACAATGATCAATGCGCAGTGCACCATGTGCCGCTGTAACTTTGCACAAGTTTTATCATTAAGCACTGCGGCGTAAGAATAATTCACTGGTTTCTGCGATGCGTATAAAGCACCAGGCTGTGCTAATTGCGCTGACGGTGACCGCTCCTGAGCTGACTTTGCTCCCCCTCCCGCTCCTGTACTGGCGGTGTCCGCTCTTCTGACGGTGTCCCCTTTCCTGTGCTCACTGGGCTGACGGTGGCTCCCAGTCTCGCTCCCGTGTGCTGACGGCATCCCTGTCCTGTGCTGACGTTGGCTTCCCTCTCCTGTGCTGACGGTGGCCGCTCTCCTATGCTGACTGTGTCCCTCTCCTGTGCTGACGGTGGCCGCTCTTCTGACTGTGTCCCTTTCCTGTGCTGACGGTGGCCACTCTTTTGACTGCGTCCCTCTCCTGTGCTGACGGTGGCTGCTCTTCTGACTGCGTCCCTCTCCTGCGCTCACTGTGCTGACGGTGTCCACTCTTCTGACTGTGTCCCTCTCCTATGCTCACTGTGGCCGCTCTTCTGACTGTGTCCCTCTCCTGTGCTGACGGTGGCCGCTCTCCTATGCTGACTGTGTCCCTCTCCTGTGCTGACGGTGGCCGCTCTTCTGACGGTGGCCACTCTCCTGTGCTGACGGTGGTAGCTCTCCTGTGCTGACTGTGCCCCTCTCCTGTGCTGACGGTGGCCGCTCTCCTGTGCTGACGGTGTCCCTCTCCTGTGCTGACGGTGGCTCCCCTCTCCTGTGCTGACGGTGTCCCTCTCCTGTGCTGACGGTGTCCCTCTCCTGTGCTGACGGTGGCTCCCCTCTCCTGTGCTGACGGTGTCCCTCTCCTGTGCTGACGGTGGCCGCTCTCCTGTGCTGACGGTGTCCCTCTCCTGTGCTGACGGTGGCTCCCCTCTCCTGTGCTGACGGTGTCCCTCTCCTGTGCTGACGGTGGCTGCTCTTCTGACGGTGTCCGTCTCCTGTGCCCCAGGTGCGCCTGTCGTTTCGGCGGGCCACTGCACCGGCGGACGGCTCGCCACAGCCTCCAGCGCCGCTCACCAATGGCGTGAACAAACAGGTGAGTGTGAGCTCCAGCGGTGAGTGCCCCAGATGAGGTGAGTGTGAGCTCCAGCGCCGCTCACCAACGGCGTCAACAAACAGGTGAGCGTGCTACAGCAGTCTGTGTCACGGACTTCTGCAAGTGCGTGTTTTGTGGTGTGGCTGGTAATTCAAGAGTCCAACTCCCACTCCGTTCAGTCGCTCGGGAACGCTGGAATAGCTGTTTTTATCCAAAGCTTCGCCGTCTTACTGGTGAATTTCAAGCCCGGTATCATCGATCCTTGGCTAACGGAGCGGCCGCCACCGATCATATTCGTGTTTTGCCGCTGTATCCCGGGGAGGCGGTAGCTGGCTGAGGCGACTGGTAAAAACACCGGCGCCCGGTCCCTGACCCAGCGGCGTCGTAGGGCTGCGCCCCAGGCCCTGTGGTCGGTAGCCAAGGGTGGACAGGCTCTGTACTGAATTCCAGACTGCTGAGACTAATATCTTGGAGCTGTATTCTGAAGAGCCTGTGGGCTGCTGTATTCTGGCCTGCTAACAGGGTTCTGGCCTCTCAGAGCTCCGCCTTGGTCGGTAACGAGTATACTGCATCTCTGAATAAAACATTGCCTCTCGCCGCGGCGCGGATGCTACTGATGATAGTGCTTACAGCTGTGTTGATGTGGTTTTGGCTGCTCCCTGTGGTCTGATGCCGGCCGTGGACCGCCAATTCGGGTAATGTCGGGTGTCCTTGTCGGAAACTGTTTTTTGCTGCTGGTGTGAGGGTGATCACAAGGCATTTCGGAAGGTTTCCGTGACTGCTGCCGCAAAACTCCGGATGAAGGGCATTGTTTCTGCTAGGATTGTCAATGTGCTTTTCACTTTCTACAGAATGTTCACGTCAGTTAATGTGCACTTTCTGCTGAACGCCCTATGAATGGTGCAGCTGCGGTTGCATAAAGATTGCTGATCAGTGGTCACTTCAGTCTCTGTGCAGAAAGTTGGTGCCACTGCCTCTGGTACAGCATAGTTGCACTATTCTCATAAAATAGCCTAGTCCGTAACATGAAAGCATAGTCAGCTTACGAATATTCTCTTCAGCCGCAATGAACTCTCGCCATTGCTTGCTCTATCCTGGACAGCAATGATAGCGATATGAAGGCCGGTGCGTTCAGGCTGTGCCTGTTTTCCTCGTCGCCGCACACATCTTTTCACTTCGGTCGTGGCAGCTAATGAGTTTATTCTTTAATTAGCTCTCTCGGTTCTCCAGCTCATAAATTTTATGAGCTGTCTCGAGGAATGGAGCAGAGAGCACTCAGGCATTCCTTTCATTTTCCAGAGAGCTTTATAGACGTTTCTGGATGTTTGAGAGGCGTTGATGCGGAACCAATTCTGCCAGTGCCGTAATCTGCGGCAGAGAGTGAAATGGATGCCGCGGGAGGGCCGCCTCGTCTACTCCGAAGGCTCAGCGCTCAATCCGGGCCATATCGTCCAATAGTCGTGGCGGTGACCCAATCGGGTCCCTCGGGTGGTTCGGTGCACATGCAGGAATATGTAGAGCTGCTATGTCATGTGGGATACATTTTGTAGGTAGGTGGAATTAGATCCTGTCACCTTCGTTTCTACAATTATTAATTGCACTTTCAGTTGGCTAGTTTGGGTCGACCGATGCTATTTCCTGGATGCCATTTATGTCCATGCAAAATGAATATTTGTTGAGATAATTCGTAAATTTACGAATCGTCCCTCTCCCCCTCTCTCACTCCCTCCCCTCCCTCTTCCTCTTCTGTCCGTTCCCCTCCCTCCCTCCATATATCTCTTCCCCTCTCCTTCCCCTTCTCTTCCTTTCTCTTCCTCTCATCTCATTCTCCCCCTCTTTCTCCGTCTCTCCCCCGTCTATTCGATCATTTAGACGGCGCTGTGGCCCAACAAAGGCCGGCTGGTATTGCCGTGTTAATCTGTGGTTCTTGGCTGCCCTGCTGACCGGCCTCATTTCCCGGTGTATTTCCCGGCGCTGTGTTACTGGCCGTAATCACCGGAATGCTCGCCGATATAGTGTGCGGACGGTGGGGATAATACCCCGCCCGCCCCCAGTCATTGTCAGTCAGGCCGGCCGGCAATAACATTGTCCCGGCCGCCGCGGAACGTCATGGGATACCAGTGCTCTCCATTCATCGCACGGCCTCGCCGAGCTGGGGCACGACCGGGGACCATCTGACAGAGCGAGAATCGGGGTAAGGAGGGCGCTGCTGATTGCCGGCTGCCGAGTTGAATAACACCGTGGTGACCTTAACTCTGAGCCTTATGTGCACCGAGCCAGTGATGTGATGAAAAATTAAAATGGGCCCTGTTGTTTTCTATTTGGGAAGGATATGTGTCACGCTAAAAGGAATGCCCATGTGTTGAACAATATAGCTAGATGCAGTAACATTAACTTAAATTAGATCGTTGAGCTCATATATCTTCGTATGTTATTTTTAACTCCCCATCGCATTTCACATGTTATGTTGGTTTATTTTATGTTCCAGCATCTGCGCAGTTTCCCGCAATATATCCTGGTCTGGACGGGGCCTTTGCATTTCGGCGGGCTCATTTGTCTGTGCCGCCTCTGTCTGTCGTGTTTGTGCCGGTCGGCTGCCGTCTTGGCCCCGTGAGTCCCGTCTGGGCCGTGACGGCCGTGACGGGCGGCCCGCGATCACGGCCCACGCCCGCGCCGCGGCACGCCACAGGCCGGAGCGGGCCGTGGAGGCCGCCTCAGGTGGAGATTGGTCCGTGCCGGGGACCATTTCGGGACTGATGTATGAGCAGATGCATCAGTAACTTCCACTGTCCTCTGAAGAACTCGGGTTTCTACAATCTACATTCTACATGTATTCTTTTTATCTTGCATGCTTATTCGCAGTATCATTCGTAATTTCATCCGAGCAGAAGCAATCTGTTTAGTGTTTTGTTGTGTTTTGCTGGAACGCCTCATCGGGTCTGGTAATCTGTGCCTGGCCGGGCCCGCGGCTGCTTTGGCCGCCGCTGCGCCGGCGCTCCGTGCCATTTTATCTGTCGGCCACAGGAGGCAGCGGAGGTCCGTCTGAATAGACCCATTTGCCACCAAACTCATCACTGCCAGCGATATTTATTGGATGCGATAAACAACATGACGTAAGCCGCCGGCGCGCCGCTGGCCCGCCATCTATCACCGGGCATCGATATCTTTTTGTTGTGTAAAATATTGTGTCGCGGCCTCCCCGTTGGGTCGGCGAGTCAGCTTAGTCCGGTCAGCCGGGGAGCGGGCTGCTGTCAAATTCGGCCGGTATCCCTCACCGCCGGTCGACCGGGGCGGGAGCGGGGCGGACAATCTGTATTCCCTGGGAGTGTGATGGTGCGGGGTAAACAACTGGGAGAGGCTGAGAGGCCCGACGCGGAACCCAGTCACGAACCCGCAACTCGGAGGGATATTTCCACTCCCGCTGTCGTCTGTCGTTTTCTCACCATGTATATCTCCTAGAAGAATGGATGCATCTTCAATTAAATCATTCTGCACATTGCTTCTAAACTCCCGGTAGCGAGAAAGGAAACTAAGAATAAATACAGGTTCACTCCAAATGACCTAAAGTAGCGTTATTTTCTGAAATGTGAGACTAATAAATGTTGCGTGGTTGAAATGTTTTATTTGGCATTGATCTTATCTGGGTCAAGCGTGGGTCCGTTGGTCCAAAGCTAAAGAGTAACTTCATGATGCTGCCTATTCCACACAAATGCCCCACACCACTGACACTGTTTCTGTTCTACCGTGTTCCAAATGCCCCACAACACTGTTTCTGTTCTACCGTGTTCCAAATGCACCGAGCTGGCACTGTTCTGCCGGGGTTGCCGATCCAGGTTCCCCGTATCACAACTTCGAATACTTTTATCTTGTGTCCGCTGGTCCCAGTGGCGTCTGCGGCGCTGACGTCTGAGGACCTCGGCGATGGGCCTGCTATCTCTCTGTGTTTGGGGGCAGCCGTTTTTGTGACATCCATTTCGAGGCTGCATTTCCATCGCTGATGTCCTCCGGGAGTCTGGACCGTCTGCCTCTACTTCCATTTTATCTTCCTTTCACCATTTCGTGGCTATATTGAGTTGTCAATGACAAGTTAAGAGGCGATAAAGTGAATAAAGCCACATAAATCCCACGGACTCGGTTCTAAATCCGACACCAGGAAAATTTCTGAATTTTCGCCATCATAGTGCTGCAGTTTATGGGATACCGTTCCCGGGACTTGGGCTATGGCGCCATGAACCTTGACATGCGTCTTCACTCTACGCCTCTCCCTTTCCTCCTCCATTTCCTCTCCCGTCTCTCTTGCTGTCTCACTTTCGGAAGCTTTTCCTTCTTTCTCAATGTATCTTACTCACACTGGGTCCCCCTCTCTCTCTCCTGCGCTCTCTCTCTCTCTCTCTCTCTCTCTCTCTCTCTCTCTCTCTCTCTCTCTCTCTCTCCTGTGCGCTCTCTCCTGCGCTCTCCCTCTCTCTCTCTCTCTGTCTCTCTGTCTGTCTGTCTGTCTGTCTGTCTGTCTGTCTGTCTGTCTGTCTGTCTGTCTGTCTGTCTGTCTGTCTGTCTGTCTGTCTGTCTGTCTCTCTCTCTCTCTCTCTCTCTCTCTCTCTCTCTCTCTCTCTCTCTCTCTCTCTCTCTCTCTCTCTCTCTCTCTTCTCTCTCTCTCTCTTTCTCTCTCTCTCTCTCTCTCTCTTTCTCTCTCTCTCTCTCTCTCTCTCTCTCTCTCTCTCTCTCTCTCTCTCTCTCTCTCTCTCTCTCTCTCTCTCTCTCTCCTGTGCGCTGTCTCCTGCGCTCTCCCTCTCTTTTTCTCTTTCTAAACTCCGCTTTATTCTGTTTCTGTTTTACTAGACATTGTTTAGTTTATTTGGTATGCTGGCCCCATGGATTCATCTTCATTTCATCTGGCATGCTGTGCTATAAATCCTCCTAGACATTTGGTGTACATGTCATGAAAAGTTATTGTGCCTCGGTAAACGTGTGAATTATTTGAATTATCAGGCAAGGCCAGGCGGTCACTATCAAATGCCATGTTGCGGCGTGGCTTGCAACTAGAAATAACGGTATCAGTGAACATTGTCGGCTATATACATATGTATGTAGGCTGCCGAAATGATTCCTTTATTAAAGGAACACGAACGTGAGCTTTCTCAGTGGAAGATATTAATTAAAGACATTTTTAAAGACGTCAGTGTGTTATGATGCTATGCTTAATTCCTTTTTTACTTCTGTCCATGCTTAATGCTTTTGCAATATGCACGTACTTTCATTCCATTTTGTTTTATGATGTAGACGATTCAATCATATCTCCACCACTGGGCTATTTGCCGACATGAATTTCCCACCGTTTGCGCACTGCCGTCAGCACGAAGACGAACGGCCAATGAATTACGCAGACAATGGATAGCGCCGTATTACCGGGCCAAAGTGCGCCGCGGTAGCTGGATCCATTCCACCGGAGCGAAATATGGCTGAAACGCCGGATTACTCATGCATTCAGTCATTGATCATGGCAGTACCAATATAGCGGGCTCAGACATGGATTACTCTGCCCGGAATGCCGGGAGTCGTGTACAACACAGTGTACACTCATCATCGTGTACTAGCATGCGTTTCGGCGTTCTTGGATCGCGTGATTATCTCGGTTTTAGCCACAATCTCCTTAACCACCTATGTTTTGTGTATGTATGCGTTGTCTTCATTTAATGTATTGTCACGAAAGTTTGATGGGGTGCGTTCATAGAATTTCCGCAGATGTGACGCGAAAGGTTCTCAAGATAATATTCTTCCGTTCCCTCCACGTCCACAGGCAGCCTCTGGTGGCGACCCCGCCGCCGCCGCCACCACCACAGTCTCGTCACCGTCCGATGAGGGCCGTGTGACCAGTCTAACCGGGGACGGCCTGCCGCTGGAGGAGCTCGGCCGGCTGCTGCGCGGCGTGCCCTATGGACTGCTGTGTCTCAGCACGGAGGGCCTCACAGAGACGTCGCCGGAGAGGCAGGACATCGTGAGTACCGCGGGGACGGGGTGGGGGACATTGCCGGAGTACCGCAGGGACGACGGGGTGGGGGACATTGCCGGAGTACCGCAGGGACGACGGGGTGGGGGACATCGCCAGAGTACCGCAGGGACGGGGTGGGGGACATCGCCGGAGCGGCAGGACATTGTGAGTAACGCAGGGTCGGGGTGAGGGACATCGCCGGAGCGGCAGGACATTGTGAGTAACGCAGGGTCGGGGTGAGGGACATCGCCGGAGCGGCAGGACATTGTGAGTAACGCAGGGTCGGGGTGAGGGACATCGCCGGAGAGGCAGGACATCGTTAGTACCGCGGGGACGGGGTGGGAGACACCGCCACAGGACCGCAGGGACGGGGTGGGGGTGGGGGACACCGCCAGAGTACCGCAGGGACGGGGTGGGGGACATCGTCACAGGACCGCCGTAACGGGACGGGACGCATTGCCACGGCGTCAGGATACTCGTAGAGTACCGCCATAACGGGGTGGGACCTTGTCCAGCTGTGTGGCGGGAGACCTCCTCTGAGCGGTAGGGCACAGGTAGTAAGAACCGTCCAAACATGGCGCTGGGCTGCGGACGGGTGACGTGGGCTCCCGGGGTGTTTTTGGGGTGCTTAAAAGTTCTCGCAAGGCCAAACTTAAAGTTGTCTTATCCATTGTATGTTATTGCATGCCAACTGACAAACAAACAAAAATGATTTATGCAGCTGTACTATCATATTTTGAATGGAATTCTCAGCACGAACAGGGTAGCATCAGTCCCATGCCCGTCACGGACCGGAGCTCTGAGGCCGTCACATTTCTCTTTCTAATGACACACCGCGGCTCACGCTATATTGTGTCGTGCTGTAACACGCCATTACAGAGACCACAGACGTCTCCGTCTGCCATCCGGTCCAATTTGCTCAAATCCTTTTGACAACTTGTTATGGATTCCATGCGAGCCTTCGTGCCCCTTCAGACGTCGTGTTTGAAATGTGAACCACTGCTGTGCTGTCATTGGTGAGCATGTCGATGTTGGCAGAATGTTGCAGGGTTGTGGGGCACCATGCGCCTATCCTTCGAGGAGTGAGGAGTAGTGGCCATGAGCTGTTAGGTCAACCGGTCTGGTTGTCGCGAAGCCCTGTTACGCTGTTACTGTTATGAAGAATGAATACTTAATATAAAGAAATCCAGTAAAATGAAAGCTCGTATCCTTATATAATCATTCCAATTTTCCTAAAAGCCCTTGCATGCTTATATACATTTCATTATGGCTATATCATAAATGCAAGGTTTGTGTTCATTAATAGATACAAAGGTAAAAAATGAATCCCGCTTGATAAATTCCCATTGTTTATTTCCATTCCCTCGCTGAAATAAAGTGTTCTTTAGAGGGCTGAAATAGTCTTCGATAACGGACTATTGGAACAGACAATACCGACTTAAATTCATTGCCGGGAAACTATGACCATCGAATTCTTGTTTGCACCTTGATGTCGCATACACGAACATACGGTAGGCACGGCCTGGACGGCTCATCGTTATCCCGGTCAGCGTTTTGACGAGCCGTGTAACTATGATTTATGAGTGCAATCTGAGCTGGAGCTGTAGGTCCGTCACTGCTGGCTGCTGCCATGCACTGGGCCGGCGGGACTCGACGCCTGAGTGACGAGAGGGACATCGCGGGCGCACCTGTAACCGGGTGCGTGACTATCGGCAATGTGACTGCTCGAGTGATATGGTGACGTCGACGATGAATGGCTCGACTAACTATGCGCGTTACTTGTGTGGCTTCTCGTCTTCCCGTGCGGACGGCGTCAGATGGCGGTCAGCTCCACACCCGGCTGGGTGGGGCGCTCGTGACCTGTCACTGCGGCCGACCTGTCGCAATAGTGGCACCCGGTTCGGCCGCGGTCGCGGCGTCGAGCGCTCACCTGCCGTCACCTGCGGTCGATGTCGATGAATGGCTCGGCCGGCGCGCTGCCCGCCTCTGTCTGTGTGTGTGTGTGATCGATGGGGCGACGGGCGGCCTCTCGGAGTGTCAAAGGGGCGCCGCTCGTCACCACTTGTGCCGTGACACGGCGGTGGTCGGGGCGGACCCCAGGGACCACAGACGGATAAAGGGAGGGGAGGGACGGACGGAGGTGTGGTGAGCCACAGGTGGCGACTTCTGCTGAAAAAGAGCTGGAAGTAGTTGAGCACCGAGCAAGGGGTGTCCTAAATGCAGCTTGGCAAGGGACCTCGAAAATCGGAAAACAGTTCCTGAATGTTATTAAGAACTTTTCGGCTTTCAACTTGGTTTGAATAATTATATTAGTTGAAAGTTGAAAGCCGGAAAGTTCATAATGGTAACCTCATTTGGGTAAAAATGCCACTTAAAACACACAGTTTCTGAATGGTTTTGGGGCGGGAAGAAAGTGTCTCCTTGACATTCCACTGAGCAGACTTGGTGCGGATGACGCCATGGGTTGCTTACATCGAAGCCACCGAAACTTATCAACAGTGATGTCCTTATCACTTTTGCTGGATTTCCCTCATCAGGTTTTCCTCAGCTGACATGGCTAAAGTTTGAGTTTGACTTTTAGAACTACTTGACAAAAGTGCCTTATAATCTATTTTCATGATGCATGGCCTGAAATTGCAGTAGGTGATGCTTATGGATGCATATGGAAGACGCCATTTCGTGGCTGTCTGCATGGGGTGCTACAATATTGAGTCCAAGTTCATTTTGTCTTAATGAGCTGTCATACGCTGACAAGTGGTGCAAATTAGTTCTCCGTTAATGACACACAGTTCAGAGGCGACCAGAACGGCGCCGTTTAATAATGGCACGGTGGAAGTCAGCCGAAACCGAAATATCCCGTTCAGTCGATGCTCCCAATCGGCCGTTACATAATGGGCGGAGCGGCTGTCTATTTTGCAGCGCGCGCGCGCGGCCCTGCCGGCCGGCCGCCGCGGCCTGCTGGCCGTCGGTCCGTCCGTCGGGCGCCGCGCTGGTTTATTTAGCAGACACGGGCCCAGTGGTTTATTTGCAGCCGGCGCGGCTCAGATATCAGTTAGCCCGGGATCGGCCGGTGGCTGCTCCATAATGCAGCACGACCGGGCCTAATTCGGGCCGGGTTGGCCGCGCCCGGCCCGGCCCGGCGCGGCGGCCGGAGCTGAGTGCCACTCCGGGCCGGGGTGGCTGGGATCACACGGATGGGCCGTGGCGGAGCTGAGTAGTGAGGCTCGCCACTTGCAGCACTGTTTACTATTAGTATCCCATGATCGCATGCAGCTCCTCTTTATAGACCTGTAAGAACCTGTAGGAACTATCACGGGTTTTATTTCGACTCGCCACGTCGAATCGGTCTTTGTAGCTATCGAGATCGCGATGGACGCTGTGATCGTTCTGCTTGTCGCTGTGATCGCCCTGTTGATCTGCCGCGGTCTGGTCCGCTGTGGTTTGGTCTGCTGTGGTCTATAGTCTAGTCCGCTGTGGTCGGCCACGCCGCGCCGGCTTCACCTGATGCGTTCAAACCGCTCCCGACCCGTGTTGGGCGGGGCTGTCGGGCTGAGTAAGGGGACGTCGTCCGCGGTCCGTTAGCTCTCGACACGCCGTCGGGCGCTCGTAAACCGACCCTAACTGACTCAGCACCGCCGCAACTTTGTCCGACACCGCCGCCGCAGTAAATGGCCGTCCGGCCCCGCGCCCTAACGCTTATCGTGGGGAGGCTGCGGGCTGGTGGGGCGGGGACACTCCGGGGAGAGTGTTTCGGGAGGCAGGATTGGGGTGTCGAGCTGCTCGGGCAATCACACTGCTGTGCTGAACTGACCCGTGGCATTCATGAGCTCGGAGAAAGAAGCATCTCATCTTCCGTGAGCGGAATTCATCTCACTGAATTTTCGCCGCCGGCTCGTGAAATCTTTTCCGCCTGTTGCGATGTGCCTCGGGGCCATTTCATGAAACTTCCATGCAATCCTGTGTAACGGCGTTTTCGTCTGAGACCTGGCATTTCGTCAGCGATGCGCGGTGGGCTTCTGACTGAATTCTGAACGTTGAAGAGTCTAGGACTGAGAACGTTGATGTAAGTTCGCCGACGCCCTAGCGAAAAGAAGATAGGTGTGGTTGGTGGGAATAATTAATTCAGCAATAATGCATCGCAAAGGTAAACCAAAGAAGGCTTCGTTATATTAACTTTTTCTCGGGTGACATTAACACTTGTGCAGCTATTCATCGGCAGAACACGTCGTTGTTACTAGCTTACCTCTCTTATCTTAGTCATGTCCAAAGCCTTTATTCAAGCGGGTATTAGTTTGGTTTGCAAACTACAGATGTCACGAGTCTTAATCTGGCATTTTGAGCTGCGGATCATCTGCTCGAAGTCCGCCCTTGTCTGCCGCATGGCCCGGTTGGGCCGGGCCGGGCTGGCTGGTATGTCGTTGTCCCGCTGCCTTGCCCGGTTAGGCCGATCCAGCGCAGGTCAAGTCGGTGGTAATTTCCGCCTCAGACCGGCCGGCGGTCTATGGCTCGGCCGAGCTGCCCGCGTCCCACCCGGCCGTGCTACTGCTGCCCGCGTCTCACCCGGCCGAGCTGCCCGCGTCCCACCCGGCCGTGCTGCCGCGAGTCCCACTCGGCCGTGCCGCCCCCGTCGCTCCGCTCCCGCCGGCTGAGACGGACGGCCGTCCATTTCGGCGCCCAATGCGCCGGCAAGAACTGTTGATTCCATCCGGTGCCGGCGGCACGATAGGAAGCAGCCGCCGCCGGGCAGCGATGGCGTTCCGGCCGACCGCTGAGAAATGCGGCCATTGCGGGACTTCATTAATTACACGCTCCAAACGAGCCTGCTGAACCGCGCCGCGGGATTGCTAATGTGCAGCTGGAAGTGGTAATGAAGAAACACTGCCACAGTCGGACAGAGCCCTCAGATGTACCGTGCCCATTTAATCCACACGTCCAGGATTACACGTGGTAGCGCAAATGGTCGGTTCGGTGAAGCCGCTACTTTTTACGTGGCCATCGGAATTTGTCGTGATTTCTGCTGTCGTCGCAGTGTCCACGTCTGCCAGCCATGATTTGCTGAAACGTATAAACATTTAACTTGTCCAACGGTAATAACTACTTACGGATATAGGTAGTGCATCGTTTTATGTCATGCATTTTCTTCTGAAAAGGCAATGCCAGGAACCTTAGCAGTTAACTGAATGTTGTCGGAAAGACGAATGGCCTGATGACGCTAACCGTTTGTAAGTTATAGCCTTAAATGGATTCGGGAATCATTGGCATCGGCCTGCGGTAATTTACTGGAATTTAACTGCTATATTGCACGGCTTTGACTGCGGGGTGTGAGTGCGTGACTGACCCTTAGTAATCGTTGGACATCAATTTTGATGCATAAATCAGCACGAACTGTTGCGGAAATCGATGCGTGATTTGTGGCTGCCCGGGAGCGCCGCCCGTTCCGTTCCGTTCCGTTTCCGCACGCGTCAGCCTCTGAGGGCCGCTGGGTGTCGTCCGCTGCTGGTCCGGTATCGTGTCGGTAATTTCGGTGCCGCGTCAGCGCTCTCTGTGTCAACAGGGCGTCCTATTTGAGCCGGGCGCGGCCCGATTTCGGCGCGGCCGCTGCCTTTACTGGTGGTGTGCGATCGATGGCCGCGATAGGGTAACATGTGTCGGTGATGCGGGCCGTCAGGCGTGGCCTGACGGCCGGCCGACACCGGCTCTCTGCGGCCGAATACAGGCCGAGTGTGAGTGGAGAACAGCCCGCTCGACGCCGCGAGCGGCGCGCTGCAATCTAGATAGGAGGCTTTCGGTGCGCCAGCCGTGTGCTGGAATTTCTGGTCTGAATCAGCACTAGGCCTCGCTTTGAAAGCTGTAAAGCTGCAGAGCTCGCCCGATAGAATGTTTTGAGGCGACGATTGAGGAAATGGATTCCAATATTTTCTTCTGCCACTTCTCCATGCTCCAGCACTCCAGCAGCCATAATCTAAATAAAATGATCAGGAAAAGTAGTTTTTTTTTTTGCCAAAATATCTGCACAGCTCCATGCCACTGAATCATGCTAGTTACTCCTCCTCCCTCCTCCACGTTGTCTTTCTATTTTTACCGCTCGGTGTATCCCCGCCACCAGATATATTTTCCTAAACTGGGAGACGTGTGGACTATGGACCATGTAGCTCTGCCTTTAGACACGTGCCCAGGAACTGGGCAGCGGGGCTGGACCGTGCCGTTCTGGCGGCGCCCCGCCGGGCACTGATAAAGACCGATGTGCGGCGCGTGGGCGATCTTCGCGGCGTCGCCTCCGGTACCGTGCAGGCCGCTGTTGGGAACGGTCGATGTCGCAGGTCGGGGTCGGTGGAGGCGAACGCTGGTGGGATGACGATGGGTGCTGAGCGGTGTCCCCCCCCCCCCCCCGGGGGGCACAGGTCACGCGCCGGGCATGGCCGCAGTTGGCGGGCCGGGGTGGCATCATACACCGTCTGGCTGCTCCGACAAGCTGGGAGGAAAACGGCTAGCTGCTTTGCTTGAAATTAAATGCAAGACGGGTCCCGATGGTATCACGTTCGTGTACCGCTACTGAAAAGTATTATCACCGCAGACTTCAAAACCAACCATTTCGAGCGAAAAACATCCAATTTTTTTTTTGAAATTATACTGCAGGCCAATAGCTTATCACGTTGAATGGGTGTCATGTGACCAACCCTGTGCTTGTTTAGGTGTGCTGCTTTACGGCCGGTAACCCGTGTCTCTGTGTCTGTGCAGGTGTACCAGTTTCCCGGGTACGACACCGCGCTGCTGTCTGCCCGCGGCGCGCTGCTCACTGTCGCCGGCCTGACCAAGCAGATCTCAGGGGATACTCCGGTCAGGTGAGTAGCTTTTTGTCGTGTGCTGTGATTTCCGTGCCTGTAGCCGTGTCCATACTTCATTTTACATGTGTCTTGACGATTTCCTTATATTTGAGACGTTTTAATCAAAGCAAATGCCGGAAAAAAGAAAGCAATCACGAGTCATATGCAGGACAGCGTCTCTCTTTGAGTAAAGCTCCACTAAGGATGGTCGGATCTGCATGTGACGCTACCAAAGGCGGCTGTGATACGACTGCCCGGTCCATGGGCGGACCGCTCTGCGATGCAGCTGGCTATGTTATGGTTCGGCTGCGTACGGGGCTAGCCGCTGCTGTGATGCGGCTGGCGGGGCGGTGGCTGGGTTGGCCTCGCTGTGATGTGGTTGTGTATGGACGGTGGGAGGGTTGGCCCGCTGTGACCCGGCTGGGCCATGGACGGTGGGAGGGTTGGCCCGCTGTGACCCGGCTGGGCCATGGACGGTGGGAGGGTTGACCCGCTGTGACCCGGCTGGGCCATGGACGATGGGAGGGTTGGCCCGCTGTGACCCGGCTGGCCGGGAGATGGGTGGGCTGGCCCGCTGTGACCCGGCCGGCCGGGCCTGCGTCGCGGCCGATCGGCGCCGGCCGTCACTCATGACACCGGCCCCGGACAGGCCGCTGGATCATCGGCCGTCTGATCGCCGCCGGCGTCCATTGTCATAATGGATGCGGCCGTCATCAGCGCATCTGGTTTGGATAATATTCAGCTGGCAGCCGGACCCGCTGGCCGCCGGCCAGCTGGGGAGACAAACGGGGGCGGACGGGCCGCTCCGTCCCCATCGACGGCAGGGACAGGCCGCTCCGTCCCCATCGACGGCAGGGACAGGCCGCTCCATCCTCACGGCCAGCCGGCGGGGCAGGGTCTCCCGGTCCCCCAGCGAGAGGGGCTGGGTGTCTCGATCCCCAGCCGGCGGGGCTGGGTCACTCAGTTCCCCAGCCAGAGATGGTTATGTCACTCCGTCTTTCTGATGCAGCTGGGACCGAATTCCAGGGATGACTATGATCGGCAGCCAGTGCCGTTTCTTAGCGCCGACATGCGTTGTGTTGTGAACACACCATAGTGGTTTACTGAGCCCCGTTAGAGAGACGAAAATGTCAAGTTTGCCACTTGGTACGTATGTTTAGTTAGTTGCAGGCACACCTGAGAAGGCTGGGCGTCTAGTGTCTTCCGCCGGCCTCATTTGTCCAATGGGTCTGCCGCGACATTTGTAATTAAAGCGCCACCTAACGAGCTATATTTCTTGGTATAACGCTGTGCAGGATCAACACGGGCTCTATTTACCATCCTAAGCAGTAGTAGGATTTCCAGCTCATTCAAACCCCGAGTCCCTATTTGCATCTGGACCATCACGCCACGCCGCCCCCTCGACTGTAAATACGGCTTAGACGGCATGCACAGTGTATAACCATGCATCATTTACTGGTTACAAGGCCAGCACCGATTGGAATCGGCCCTCATCCGTTAGTCGCTCGATGGCGGGGCACCAGTCAGGCTGATCGCTCCCGGAGGGCTCGGGCTCAACTCTCAGATAAGCCCCTCAATTCGTTCGAGTGCTCTCGCTCTGTTACAATTGAAGTGACATATCGAGCCAACGCAGCGACATTGTAGTTTCTTCTGTGGTGGACTTGAAACGATATGCCGCTTCGCGCTCGGTTGAGATACATATTTTTTGTTAAATAGGAACTAAATCGTTTTCTTGCAAATGTATCCGATTCCACTGAAATGCTGTTCGTTAACTAGCTTGGACGGTGAATGTGAACAGGAAGCATATATGCAAGACGAATTTCGTCTGTTCTCGAATCTTTTTTCCCTGACAGAATTACAGAATTGCATCGCCGTAAGACAACTGACAAGTCCATACGCTACCGATTTAATGACGCCAGTGATTTGCCACTTGTCATGAGTCATTATCTCGTATCGGCGGCTCGCCCTTGTCCACCCCGGGCCTGGCGAACTCGGTCGGTGGACTGCCAGGATGGGCTACTGCAAACTTTTACCGTGACAACAGCGCTAACGAACCGCCCGGCGGTAATCCGGTGGGTAAACAGACTGTCGGCGGCCGGGTCTGTCCCGCTCCCTCCGCACCACGGCGGCTGGCTCTGTCCCGCTCTGCCCCGTGCCCTTTACACCACGGTGTGCCGCTCTGCCCCGTACCCTCCGCACCACGGCGGCCCGCTCTGCCCCGGGTATCCCTCCCTCTGGACCACCGTCTCATCCCTATTCCATCCGCTCTGGCTGCCAGCCCGAATCCGACCTGCCATCACCAGAGATTTGCGTTCGACCGCATACAGACGTGATCCGCCGGGCGTGTGCGATTGGACGGCCGCTGAAATCGCGCCGTCCCCCAAATCAAAATCATCCAGTGTGCTGTCCGTCATTCTGTGCCCGGTGATTGGGTCGGTTCTGGTGTCTGGTTTTCGTCCGAGCGGGAGGGGCCGGTCTCCGCCGGGGGTGGTGGGGTTCTGTGTGTGTGTGTGTGGGGGGGGGGCGTTCTCCCTCCGGTAGCCGCCGCTCGTTTGCCGGCGTCGGACAGCGCGCTGCAGCACTCGCTGTGAACTTTGTGGGCGCCCAACAGACGCTTGATGCTGCGGCAAGCCGTAACGCAATTACAGCCGAGCTTTCAGCGCGCGGTAATTGTTTTGTCGTGTCGTCCCCGGCGGTGGTGTTTTCGGCACACAACCCGACCTCGCCTCCGGCGGCCGCTGCCGCCGCTGTTTTCTGCTGCCGTGGGACGGCTGCAGGTGCTCAGTAAACTGCACCTCCGAGATCTGACCCGACGTCGCAATTTAGCCGGATACGGCCCGGAACACTGCGTCAAACTGAAGGCCCGTCTGGGTCGCAAACCTCGGCTCGGTACCGTGCTGGTATTAGGACGTCTCCTTGTTTTTTTTGTGCTTTTGCACCTTTCATTTTATCCTTTTGAAAATTAGGACAGTAAAACTAAGCTTTCAATAAGCCTTTTGGTATCTCACACATGATGTTTGTTATTCGATCCTCGTCGGAAAGTAGCATTTAAAACGATGTGCCACTGTGCAGATTGCATCGAGGCGTGGTTTATTTTATTGATTTGAAGTAGCGCTTCAACATGGGATCGTTTATTGCTGAAAGCGACCTGTAATCGCAAGATTCAATTATAAATACTGAAGTGAAGAGCAGATGCATCCAATCCCTGCCTACCTAATACCTACTATCCGTCGCCGGGCTTCCGCGCGGTTAGCTCACAGGCCGCTGCCCCGGCGACTGCACTGCGGCGGCAGAGCAGCCGCCTGCCCTCGCCCGTACCGGCGAACAGGGGTGCGATGCGGCACAGCCTACCAGGCCGCTGCCGCCGCGCCGCTCAGCCCTGGCTCAGCCGGCCGCGCCGCTGCTACCGCGTGGCCGTGCCCAGTCGCCGGCGAATGCGAGGCATCGTCAAACATTACAAGGTGGACGTTGATAATTCCGTGGAACACGTTACTCCCTTTTGATGTGGATATCATCAAATTAAATAATTACTGGGTGCCTGGAGGGTGTCTGCGCGGTCGGCTGGGCCCGGTCCTGAGCGCCGCCCGGCGCCCACCCATCAGCGGCCGTGTCGCCGGGCCGCCTGCGGGGCCGTATTTCTGTCTGCCGTCTCCGGGCAGCGGGTCTCTGTCACACGCTGCCGCCGCTGGCACTGACAAAGTGCCGGCCCCGGCCCGGCCCCGGCCCCGGCGGCGGCGGGCGGGGGGGGGGGGGCGACCGCTGCCGCTGACGCCTCCCGTGACGAACGCTCCGCCACCGCCGCCGCCGGAAGCCGTCCCCTTCCGGTGACCTGTGACGGTGGGAGCGGAACTGCTGTGGCTGTGTGGGTGGCGTGAGCCGTCGCTTAGCGCTCAGACAACAGTGTCGGCCGTGAACAGTACTTTTCGTGAAGTTTCGGTAGGTTAGCTTGAGCTTGCCTGTGCAAAGTCTGCGTGATGCATTGGTGTCATGCCTTGACATTATACAGGCAGCAGTCAACTCAGTTTGAAGTATTGGCGCAACATAGCTTAGAGTCCGCCATTGCGAGCTTTTTTCTCATCTTTTTTACTGCATCTCTTTATGTGAACACTGGATTCGCCGTGTTGTCGTAATCCTCTCTGTCCAGCACCATTGCGCCGCCGCCGCCGTTGTACTGTGCTGCCGTGCTGCGGCGCTGTCTGCTGCCGTGCGGTGTCGTGTGACGGTGTCATGCCCCGCTGTCCTGCAGGGCGGCAGTGACCGTGGGCTCCACACCTGTCCACGTGGCTGTGACCTGTCAGGAGGACCTGGTACTGCTGCTGGCCGCCCCCGAGGTCAGGTCAGTGCACCCACAGTGTATGTAAGTGCACCTTCCAGCCCGGTCATAGTGCCTAAGTACCAAACTACGCCACCCCTTGAAAGTGCATTATTGTCCCATCAATTCTGTAATACCATTCTCTCAGTCGCGTTGGCTTTACGTCCTCACTCCACAATGCTGTACCGCTGTTTATGTGCTTCTGTTTGGTATGCCTTGCAGTTGCATCTGTCCGACTGAGCCGTGCCACCCTCTGACCCTGTATTATCTGTCCTCTCTATCTCTTCGCTCCGTACACTCTGTCTGAGCCATGTCGCCATCTGACTGTGTTTTCTGTGCGTTCGCCCTGGGCAGTCTGTCGGCGCCAGAACTGCACCAGCTCGGCACGGAGCTGTGGCAGCTGCTGCGGCTCGAGTTCGGCTCACTGCGCAGGTCAGTTGGGGGGGGGGATGGGACTGGGTTGGTTCAGGTCACTGCGCAGGTCAGTGCGGGGGGGATAGGACCGGGTCAGTTCAGGTCACTGCGCAGGTCAGTTAGGACCGGGTCAGTTCAGGTCACTGCGCAGGCTAGTGCGGGTCACTGCGCAGGTCAGTTGGGGGCGTGACCGGCGTCCGGTGGCTCCCAACAATAGAACTTCGGCCGTCGCCGAGCAGCGTTTTATGACGTACCGATTCTGTCCCAATCGACTGCTGATAACTTGACATAGGTGACAACACCACCATTACAGTCGCTGTTTTGGCTCTAATGTGTCGTCTTTAGTGTTAATCCCCAGCTGGTATGAGCAGGTCTCATTGGCGATACAGATATGACGAGCCGTGAGTGTAACCATCCTGCCGGTGTCTGTGAGCTACACGGTGAGTTGCGGAGAGTCCGGGTCACCTCCTCAGTGAGTTACGGTGAGCGGTGAGCCGACCCGCCGCCCTGCCGGTGTCTGGGTGACGGAGAATCGCCCCGCCCGCCGGTGTCGTCTCTCCCAGCGCGACACACTGCGCCCGGGCCGCCTAGTCCCGGCCATTGTCCCTATCTCTGTCAGTGTGTGGGAGCGCGCCGGCCTCGTCCGTCGCTCGGGGCAGCGGCGGACCGCGGCCACAATGCCGCGCTGGTGTCGACCGGCCGGCGGCCCCATTGTACCGGATTGTGGCCGGGGAACGCCGCCTCCGCGCGCCACGGCACCTCCTCGGGCGCTTATCGTGCCGCAGCTGCCCGCGCGGGTCACGCTGACAGCGCTGAGTGGCGCTGAGCTGAGGGGCGCTGAGTGGTCAGCCGGAGGCGGTACGTCATTGTGATTATGTGTGCCGGCCGCTGACTGACAATAGTCGGCGACTATTTCTGGAGCGCTTTCGCAGCTTGTTGTACAGCGTCAAGATACGCCGTCAACCTCTGATAAAGCGGGCGCCATTCCGTGGCGGCGCAGCGCGCTCGCCTCGCTCGAGTTGTGTCGCACCAGCTCCTTCAGTGTGATATTTCCGACTGGGGCGCGGAATGTGTGGGAGGCAGATCAAATTTAGAACCCACTCGCTATCAGTGAGAGGCTGCTGAAAGTGGAGCTAGCAGAAGTGGAATCACACTGCGACATAAACATGCATGTGGGAGGGAACGAGTGCCGCCCGCTCGATACTGCGTGCGCGTCTCCTTCTGCGCCACTCACGACTTAGCTGCAGGGGTGGGTAGCACCAACCACCAGGGCTGGTAAATGATTGCAAAGACTGGGCTTTGGGCACGTAGTGGCCTGTCAGACGGTAGCTGCAAACGAACAGTAGCGCCGTGCTCTGGTCAAAATTGCAGAACACTCTCATTTTTTTTTTTTTTAGGCGCTAATGTTCAATCATATTCCGGACTAAACCACTACGGGGGTATGCTTTCTTTTCAGGGCTGCTCAATGCCCATTATCTTCAAGCCTCTCGAAAGTTAACCTGTGTTATAATAGCCCGTTACTTAATTTGTCCTTTGCCGTCCGATGTCTTGAGATGAATAAATCTGTCGGCACGACGTATTGAATTCATTAGTTCAACTAAAAGATAAACGCTTTTTTATTTTTTTTTTATTTTTTTTTTCTTTATTTTTATTTATTTTTTTTTTTCATACATTTTATTAACACAATTCACATAAAACACAAACAAAAATAAGCATAAAACATTTTTGTGCTCCCATCGGCGACCCGCCTGGCCAGGCCGGGACGGTGTCAATCCGTGACATATGCCGTCCCGGCCCCGGGGAGAGCTGTGGGATACCTCCCCAGCCGGGGAGATCTGATGGCTACCTCCCCGGCGCTCCAGGCGGGCCGCCAGCCCCCGCCCGCACCGCCCGGCAAGCAGCCCCGGGCGGTGCCCCCTAGCCACCGACCGGGCGAGCGAAGCGTCGACCCGTCTAGGTCGGCGCTCCGCACGCCCGGCCGGCCGACCGGCCCCTCACAGGAGGGGCCAGTCCCGGGTTGGCCCGGATGGGTCATGGGGGCGGGGGCTTGTAGCGCGCACATCGTTTTCCACTAACACTTTATATAACAAACACCATATGCATACATACAAGGGACAGTCATTTTAACATTGTGTATCATCGACACCTGACATTTGCCCCTTCCCCCTTCCCATCGTAGAAAAAAAAAACTGTACACATCATGTTGCACTACGCAAACATCGTGACACACAACAATAATTAGTCACAAAGTGCTTGTTTCATATTCTAAGGCGGTTACCTTTCTACACGCTCCGCTAAAGCGCAAAACAGCGAGCCCCAGGTATCGTTGAATTTCGTTTCTCGATCATTTATTTTATAAGCATACCTTTCTACTTTAAGATAGTTGTACAGGTAAGTGACGAATGTGGGCTCAGATAAGTGACTATTGCATTCCCTCTTATACCATATAAACTGTTTTCCCAATGAAAGAATAGTATTGATGCGCTTGCAGACCGCGGAATCGTTGTGCTCAAAACCGGTGACTACGACTTTGTATGTAATATTGCGCTCGTTAAATAACTCACCAATACTGCTCCAAAAAGCCCTTACTCGGTGGCAATGCCAGAATAAATGTCCAATTGTTTCCACCTGGTGACAGTACGTACATCGATCCGTATCTTTGATGTTACAAGTAAAAAGAAGTTTGTTTGTTGGTAAAATTCTTTTTATGCATCTGTAATTCAACCATTTTAGATTAACATCTTCAACAGCGTAATGCAATCGTGCGTAAATAGCAGGCCAATTCAGCCGCCTTCCACCTTCAAGCTCTGCTTCCCACTTTGTGTGCGATTTTTCACCCCGAGTAGTATCTAATACTTGTTCTAATAACTTGGAGTATGCCCATCTTGCTGGTTTAGATGAATTTTGCAACTGTTCTATAGATGTTGCATTGACACTTCTCTGAAGGTTTCGTATTTTATTGCTCCAAGCGGTTGGCACTGCGTTTTTTATTGCCGCTGAAACCATTGGGTGCACACCAAATTTTTGTGAAATTTCATTAACTGTCATTAATTCTTTCTTTCGTAAGTTACATATATCTGCTAGTCTAATGATACCTTTTTCTATTAAATGTTTCCTGTTGATATTGGCATTGCTTTCTATGTTCAAATCTTTGTTCGCCCATAATATGCTATTTTGCAATTGATCTGTGGCACTAAGATTAGCTCCGTTAATGTTATTCCATGCAATGCACGTTTCCTCCCAAAAAGTATTCTTTACCGTGTTTTTTATGTACTTTGCATTTGTATTGCAGTGAAACAGCGTTATGTCGTCATTTAGAAAAAGCATTGGGGTCACCAGGCCCTTCCACTTAGCATCGTGGCTTTTATCTAGGAGTCTTTTTATCCAGGTAACCTTTAAACTCTGTGCCTGAAGTGCTAAGTCTGGCACCTTTAGGCCGCCACCTTTATATTTACTTTTTAATGTCATACGTTTGACTTTATCTTTCTTTCCGCCCCATATGAATTTGAACATGAGCTTTTCTACTTCTTTTATAAATGGTTTTGGAGGAGCTGGAAGCACTGTCATAACATACACCAGCTGAGATATCAATTCGGTTTTCAAAAGGTGAACGCGCCCGTATGGAGTAAGACCGCGACCTATCCATGGCGCTAGTTTATCCTTCATTATGACAAATTTCTCATTATAATTTATTTCTGAAATGTTAATATTCGGGTTGTTAGATACCTTCACGCCCAATACATTAATGGGTGTCGTTGGCCACTGGATATTAAATTGCGTGCAAATCGGCTTTCTTAAATGCCCGTTCCTACCCAACCATAGAGCTTGTGACTTATGCCGGTTCAATTTCAGCCCAGATGCTGTTTCGAAGTCCTCAAAGGTATCCATACATTTATTTAGAGATAGCTCAGATCCATCCATGATAATCGTTAAGTCGTCAGCGTAGCTAGATACTTTAACATTTGCTCCGTTAATTGTCAGTCCTTTAATTGCATTTTCTTTACGAATTCTCTCTAGAAGTGGTTCAAAGCATATGATAAATAAGAGACAACTCAAAGGGCATCCCTGTCTAAGGCCTCGCTCAATTTTATACGGGCTTGACAATTTACCGTTTATTTGCACATTTGCCTGACATGATGTATCCTGCCCACCATTGTAAATAATATCAATCCATCTACAAAAGTCTCTTCCAAACCCAAATCGTTTCAATGTCTTTTTCATGTAAGACCAATCAACGCTATCGTAAGCCTTTTCTTGGTCACATGCTAGTAGGATTGCAGGAATATTTTTGTTTTTACATGCCTGCATGACGTCAAGTATTAATCGAATGTTTTCACCTATGTATCTCCCTTTCAGGAATCCAGTCTGATCTACATTTATTATGTTCGGTGCAGCATTCGCTAGTCTTGTGGCTAGCAACTTTGTTATGATTTTGTAAAATGTATTCAGGAGACTAATAGGCCTTAAGTTTTCGATTCTTCTTGGATCTTTGTTCTTTTTGGGTATCAAAACTGTGACACTCTTCTTAAGATTTGACGGCATTACTCCGGAACTAAAAATTTCTTTACATGTAGCGAATACTAATGTTTTCAGCTCTGACCAAAATACTTTGTAAAATTCTCCAGTGTATCCTGATGGCCCAGGAGAGGTATTATTTTTTAATGAAAAAACTGTTCGGGTCAGCTCTTCCATCGTAATGTCTGCATCGCATGTTTGTCTATCATGTTGTGTTACTTGACTTAACCCTTCTGTAAAGTCAATTCGTGACTCATTCCCAATACGGCGTTCAAATAGCGTTTCGAAGTACCTTTTTCCTTCCTCCAACATTTCCTCGGTTTTGTTAGTAATGGTACTCTGGTTGCCCTCATTTATATACATTTCTCTCGTAATGTTTTTGGGGAAATTTCGCTTAGTTATGCCGTGGAAATATTTTGAACCCTTCTCTGCGAATGCCCTCCAGCGCACTTTATTCCAAAATATTCCTTTTTCTGTTTGATCAGAAATAATTTCATCTCTCT